AGTGTGTGTGTGTGTGTCTGTGTGTATGTCTGTGTGTGTGTGTGTGTGTGTGTGTCTGTGAGTGTCTGTGTGTGTGTGTGTCTGTGAGTGTGTCTGTGTGTCGTGTGAGTGTGTCTGTCTGTGTGTGTGTGTGTGTGTGTGTGTGTGTGTGTGTGTGTGTGTGAGTGTGTGTGTGTGTAAGACCTTCGCTAAAGACTTTCTCTGGACGACCAACACGTGCACTAGTACGACCCGCTTCATCGCTTCATCTGCCTACTCTCAGGGCAGAGGTTTAGGCTTTGGCTTGTTAGCTCACTGGAAAATTGTTTTGGATCTCTGTGTACGTGTACGTGCGTGTGTGTGTGTGTGTACGTGTACGTGCGTGTGTGTGTGTGTGTGTGTGTGTGTGTGTGTGTCTTAAAATTTTTACGGCTTAAAAATCGTCCGACGACTCAAGGCTCGTAGATCCTGTGCCCTTCGCCGTCTTTGAATTCATGACCAACTTTCAAGTCTAAATTAATAGATAAAGATATTACCTTACTTAGACCTTAGATCCTCCCGCAACTACTGTTGCATCGGTCGACTAGTAGTAAAGATATGATCAATAGTAAAGATATAATAAAGATATAATCATTGTGTTTTTTTCTCCCCAGGATCTGGAGATCAGGAGGACTGTTCCGGTAAGGAGACAATTTTGTTTCTTCAAATATGGCCATTTCTTTCTTTAATTGCCATTTTTATATCTGTGATCAAATTACACAGTTCTGACTATGAGCGTTTTCTTTATTATTTTAACCTAGGAGAGAGAGAAGACTTTACCAGAGGTGAGCGCGATTTTTGGCCATTCACTTTTGCTAGAGAATTGTCTTATATACACATTGTACAGCCTGTCCGCTTTTTTGCTTTGTCTATTCCGTCGAACTCTAGAAAGCATCTGCATCCACATGAGGTATGAAACATTTGAAGTTAGATGTTCATCACTCCAAATTTTAATAGCGTATGCCTGGATTTCTTGTTTGTTTGTTTGTTTGCTTGTTTTGCATGTGTGAGAGATCAGGGATTGTTGTTGTTTTAGACCCTGCCCAAATCCGACCAAACGAGCGCTGTGATGTTTGTTTGTTTGTTTGTTTGTTTGTTTGTTTATTTTAGACCCTGCCCGAATCCGACCAGACGGGCGCTGCGGACCAGACTTCCCCGTGGCGGACGGAGTTCCCGGGGAGTGTGACGTCATCGGCCCGGCGCCATGTTGTTCAGCTGACGGACGGTGTGGCGATTCCGAACTCCACTGCGACTGTCCGGAATGTGTCGACTACAGTCTGCTCATAGGTGACTTTTATTAACTATATTGTTCATTAATAAGTCTGTTCAGGAAGGAAAATGTTGTTTTTCAAAATAGTATGGCAGGCTTTTAATAAAAAATATACCATTTTCCACTCTTGTTCTTTAATTCTATCTAGAACCAGTCAATTTACCTAGAAAAGGCAATTGAAGGTTAGAATTCTTATCTAGTTGCACCATAAGTGTTGCGTTTGGGAATGTGAATTTTTTGGTGTAAATTCTGTGCCCCAGTTCCCGACTGCCCTCCCGGGTACCACATGTTGAAAAAGCTAGTTCTGTCTAAAGTTTCCCCGTGTGAATTTCCCGTGAAGTAGCTAGTTCTGTCTAAAGTTTCCCGTGTGAATTTCCCCTGCCCAGTTCCCGACTGCCCTCCCGGGTACCACAAGCTGAAGTAGCTAGTTCTGTCTAAAGTTTCCCCGTGTGAATTTCCCGTGAAGTAGCTAGTTCTGTCTAAAGTTTCCCCGTGTGAATTTCCCGTGAAGTAGCTAGTTCTGTCTAAAGTTTCCCCGTGTGAATTTCCCCTGCCCAGTTCCCGACTGCCCTCCCGGGTACCACAAGTTGAAGAACACGTGCTACGGGGCGAGGCTGGAACTGGCCGACTACACACAGGCCGAGAGAGCATGCGCAGAGGACGGGGGTACACTGGCCATGCCCAAACACCTGAAGACTGACTTCTTTCTTATAGGACTCATGATCAGGTTTGTTACACTTTCTTATAGGTCTCATGATCAGGTTTGTTATCATGAAAGTTCTTTGTTGGTAGTTGCATGTTTAAAGTTAAAACTTAGGATCCGACAAAAAGAAGTTCTCTCACCTAGAACTTTCGACCAGTCATTACGGTGCTTCTTGCATTTTTTAATGTTTACCGAAGGAAAACATATTGTTTTGCTCTGTTTCCTTTTCTTCACTTATAATACATATATACCTGGTCAATGACCTGAACCACACCGTCTGTTACCATGGTAACTGGTGTTGTGTTACATTATGTTGCAATTTCAAGAGGGATTTAGACTCCTGTCACCATATATGTGAATGTGTTTGAGTAAGAGTTAACAGAGCAGACCATATGCGAAGGTAAACATCATGCATTTGTTTTGCAAATGTTACCTTTCTAGTCTTAAACAACACGATGTCCCTTTAACTCCACTACATGCTGTTCTTATACTAAATTGTTGTATTCAGGGCTGCACCAGAAGGTAGCGACTTCTGGGTCGGGATAGACGACAGGAACCAGGACCACGTGTTCGCTGACGGCACCAAGCTGGCAGACTGTGCCTTCACAAAGTAAGAATTCATATTTACTGTAGTTAAGTATATTATACGTGACAAGAGCTGTCGTTAATGCAGAGTTACATCCACACATAGCTGAACAGACCTGTCCATGGTGCTGACTCACATTCACACATAGGTGACCGGGCCTATCCTATCTTCCAAGACGGCGCATTTTAAGGGGAGCACTATTACACTAACCTCTATAAAGTACCTGTAACTTTAGAAGTTCTCTTGACCGCATTGTCTGTCTGTCTGCCAATTTCTTTCTCTTCTACTTTTTTGCCATCATGTTGCTTTTAATAACGTTAGAATCTATATATTTGGCATTGATTTCATTCGATTCGAATAAGACGATTCGTTGAAGAAACGTTGTCTATCTGAAATACCTGAAAACGTGAGGAGCTTAGCCATGCAGCTTAGAAGTTACTGGTTGTATCTGTTTGTTTGTTTGTTTGTTTGTTTGTTTGTTGTGAGGGAGACAGGTGATATATAACTGGTCTTAACAAGTTGTCTTTTCTATTTTGTGTTTTGTACAAGCATTTTGTTTTACCTGCAGTGTTCCACACTGTATCGTGACTGTTTGATGTAAAACTATGATTTTCTGGTATCCAGGTGGTCAGACACGGCCCTAACTGCTAGGGACAGTCCTCAAAACTGCTACATGTACAGCCGGGAGTTAGGCTACTTCTGGCACAGCAAGAGCTGCCTGGAGGAAAGCATGTTCCTGTGTCAGATAGGTGAGTTCTGAAACAGGTTTGGACTGTGATCTATCTTCTCTCTCTCACTCTCTCTGTGTCACTGTCTGTGTGTCTGTCTCTGTCTCTGTGTGTATCTCTTTGTGTCTCTGTCTCTCTCTGTCTGTCTCTGTCTCTCTCTGTCTGCTTGTCTGTCTGTCTCTCTCTCTCTCTCTCTCTCTCTCTGTCACTCTCTGCCTGCCTGTCTGTCTGTCTCTCTTTGCCTGTCTCTCTGTCTGTCTCTCTCTCTGCCTGTCTGTCTGTCTGTCTGTCTGTCTGTCTGTCTGTCTCTGTGTGTATCTGTCTCTCTCTGTCTGTGTGTCTCCCTCTGTCTCTCTCTCTCTCTCTGTCTCTCTCTCTTTATGTACTGAAATTTGGCAAAATTGTAACGTTGTGGTAAAAGTCATTTCTTATTTTTCTTCCCTATGTTATTCCTAGGTCCAGGAATTACTGAAGATTGTCCGACTACTACCCACAGTCTTGCAACCGCACGTCCGGATCCGCCATCTTTGACGTTGCGACCGCCTGTT